TAAAAAAAAAGTCAGAGTTCTTTTCAAAAATTAAAATTTAGCATGCCAGTTAATTAGCAGCCAAGTCATAGGAATTCACTAAAGAGGTTGAAGTTAGACAGAAAATAATATTTGAGGAAGTTTAGATTAAGGAGATTAAAGAAACATTCCATTGTCTACTTTGCTTTAAGTTCAAGTGATATGAAATGATTCACAGAAACCACATCTTATACTTAGGATGCTGGCTGGAAGTCAGTACCCATTTCAGAACACTGTTTCTGTTCTTTTCCTCTTTCCTAGGGTTATACATCTTTTTGGAATGACTGTATATCATCTGGCCTGCGAGGGGGCATCCTGATAGAACTAGCCATGCGGGGTCGAATCTCTCTGGAACCCCCCACCATGCGTAAGAAGCGACTACTAGACAGAAAGGTACAGCATCTTCTGTGAACATATTCTAAACTTATGGAAAGGCAAATACCAACAGTACATTTTGGAAGAATAAGAAGATTTGAATAGTAAGACATGATAAATATCTCTGACTCAGCTGTCCCATGAATAAACAGGTTTAATTTTCCTGTAGCAGAGGCAGTAACCTAACTAACCTTAGTCTAAAGAGTCATACGGAGTTGGGGGTATAGCTCAATGGTAGAGTGCTTGTCCAGCACATGGGAGGCCCTGGGTTTGATCCTCAGCACCACATAAAATTAAATACATAAGGGTATTGTGTCCATCTACAACTAAAAATATTTTTTTAAAAAAAGAGTCATAGGAAGCTCATGAGTTTTGTCTTTTTTATACAAAAAAATTACATTTAGAATGGTGTTGTTTATTTCTCCCTCTATTTCTATAGTTATAACATTATGAAATATAATATTATATAGCAGAAGGAATCATCTGAGTGGGTCAGTTTTTTGCTTGACTTAGTTATTTTGTGTTCAGTTCTTCCATCTACTATAAGTTTATTGCAACGTAAAAACTATATTCCTTTTTTCCTTCCTGAATTATATTTCTGTATTCATTTTCTTACTAATTTTTTCTGTTTACAACTTCTAAGCTCTGTTCTGAAACTACATCCTTAGGTAGAACCAGCTTCCTTTCTTTATTTTTCTCCTTTAACCTGTGTGTGGCATTTGACATTTTTGAGCACCCCCTCCTACTTGAAACTTTCACCATTATTGGTCTTTCTTTATATTGTACTATACCCCATTTCCTTTACTTCTCCATTCCTTAGCATAAAAGTCTCAGTTTGTATTCTGTTATCTGATTTTCTATCCTTTTGAAAATACCACTTAACTTCGAAGCTGTATTTATCACCTACGTGAAATTAACTCCCAGATTTCTAGGCATATCTTATTCATCCTCCAGGAAAATCGTCCTCCTCTTCCTCTTCTTCCTCCTTGTTCTCCACTGCTTTTTTACCTCCGTCTTCTCATCTCCCACTTTTTTCTTTCTTTTTGTTTTACTATTAGGTGTTGAATCCAGGGGTGCTCTAAACTTCCGATGAACTACATCCTGAGCCACTTTTTTTTTTTTGTAGTTGTATATGGACAACATGCATTTTTTTTATTTGTTTATTTTATGCAGGGCTGAGGATTGACTCCAGTACCTCACACATGCTAGGCAAGCACTCTTTAGCCATTTTTAAAAATTTTATTTTGAGACACCCTTGCTAAGTTGCTGAGGGTAGCCTCATACTTGCAGTACTCCTGCCTCAGCTTCCCAAGTAGCTGGGGTTGTAGATATGTGCTGCCATGCCTGGTTTGTCTGGACAATTCCAATTGGCTGCCCAATATCAGTTAAAACCGTGCTTATTGAGCCTGGTGTGGTGGTGCATGCCTATAATTCCAACAACTTGGGAGTCTGAGGCAGAAGGATCAAAATTCAAAGCCAGCCTCACTTAACTAACTTGTCACTGAGGTTCTAAGTAACTTACCAAGACTATCTCAAAAAAATAAAAAGAGGGCTGGGGATGTGGCTCAAGCGGTAGC